TTTGTAGGTGACGAAACATCACCAAGGTTTTTTAAAGTGTTTGCTTTGGGTCCTTTACTATGGAGTCATGTCCTTATTTGAGGTATATATTAAAAAAAAAAAAAGAACCCACCCACTCTGCGAGTCAGCCTGAAGGTGGTAACTCACCAAAGCCGACAGCTGCTGACTCTCAGCGAAGTTTTTTTTTGCCCAAGATCAATTTGCAAGAATTCGGCCAAACCAGACATCTGGGAGGTAGAAGCTACGAAAACGTAGTGCCCTGCCCCCGGCCAAGAGGTCCACGTCCTTCTCTCCACACCGGTGAGGGTGCAGTCCTGCAGACTCACGGCCCGCTGTCCACCGCGGGAAAGCACCACGGACTTTCCGACTCGGCATCCGCCTGCTGCTTTCTCTTCCCACTCACGTAATTAACGCGCCTTTCTTTTCCTCTTTAAAAATATGCCTGTTTCAAATTTGCATTATTTTTTTTTTCAGACGCCTAATTTCAGCTCTGTTCTTTCCCTCTGTGGTCTCTTCCCGCATTTCACATTCCAGACAAATATTTAAAGGTCTGTAAAACCAGGCGAGGTTCCAAAATATTTCTAAACGAAAGTGCCATGGGTGACAGCAAAGGGAAAGAAGGAACGCAGGAGGACAAGGATTGGAATAAACTGGCTGGAAATGCATCCGAAAATCTATTTACGTTACTATAGCCGTGGGTGAGGTTTCAGTGAGGCATAGTCAAGTTACTGACAAAACGAACATGTTTCATCATCACTCAGAATAGTCTACTTGTCATGGTGCACTGCTTTTTTTTATTAGTAAGTTGCTCTCTCTTTTTAAATTTGTTTTTCTTATTTAGTATTCAGGAAGTGAAAGCATTTAAGAAAACATTCAAAATTCTGAGAATACATGTAAATGAAATATTTAATGTCTATCATTCATAAAAGTTACATCATTTACATAGGGTTCATTTGTATATAATAAAAATTTCATCATAATGAAAAAATTTCTGGAAAGGTATATGTTAATTTGTTTAACATACACTTTGGATATACAGCTAAATATGAGTCATTAAAAAATTCTATCTTCAAATATTCCCTTTAACCATTAAAAAACCTCATTCCTAAATATTTGTTTTCTTTCTATTTGCTCTTTTTGTTTGTAATATCATATGTAATCTGAACCATGCAAAGACAGGATCTCATCACAGTTCAGAATATATTTGTGTACTTTCAATAAATTTGCTCATTGCATAGCAAACATGTAAACTTACAGAGGATCTATAAATTTTACCCTAGTCATCTAAAAAAGCTGCTGAAATTTTACATGACAGTATATTGAGGTTTATTTATGTTGTAATCTGGGTTCTGTTTAAAAAAAAAATACTTTTAGTCCATGTGTTAATTGAATACAACAAATAAAAAGTCATGAAAAGTCCAAAACCAAGTAAATAATTTTATCCTAGATTACCAGAACTTATCCTCATTATATCATTTGGAATTTTTCCTAAGTATAACAAGTTGGAAATGGGTCATGCTGCCTCTTATGACAGTGTTCAAAATTAATTCCAAAAGTGTGTGTTTAACATAAAGTTAACTATGTTTCCATCGAATAAGATGTTTATTAATGAAAGCTATTTATCACAAGAAACAGCAAAGATAAGTCATCATACAGAGATGTACACTAGAAGTGACAGATGTGAAAGTGCATGCAGAGATTTCTGTTTCAAAAGGAAGTAATAAACAATAATACTAAAATTACTGGGGTCTGATCCCTATCCTCTTAAATGAGTGATAGCTTTTCTTTGAATTTACAGTTGGAAAATGTCATTAACAGATAGGACTAAAACACATTAGCAAGCAGGTGAAATGAATGCTTTTGGACTTTATTTTACAAGTGCTGTGCTTGACAAATGTGTGGGATTTTTTTTTTTTTCCAAGAATAATTTTCTTCAGCTCTGGGGTGGGCATATTACTGCCTGGCTGCTCTGGATTATACACGGTTTGTCTCACTTTGTTTAAAATCATATAATTTTAAGCCTCCATTTGTGTTAGACATCATAAAGAACAGAAGTTTTGTTAACATTCAGTAAATGACATTTAAGTCTCTTGGTCTCTCTCTCTCTCTTACTCTCTCTCTGTCTCTCTCTCTCTTTTTTTGGCTCAATAGATCTTTTAATGTATGATTATCATAACCTAATATTGTCTTTGTCTTCACTGCAGTGGATTTCCGATCAAACTTTTCCCCTTCTTTTAATACTTTAGGGAATTTTCAAACGTCGGGATGTTTGGCTGTAATGCCCCAAGATTTGTTCTCCCTGAAAAAAATCATAGTGACAATTTATTAACTCCAGAGCAACTTGGCTTTTAGGGGTCTTCAATTTCTATTTAGATTTACAAATATCCATTTGTGCTCAATAGACCTAACATGAAACTTAATCATATTTAAGGCTTCTTTTCATGCAATTACTTTTTCTGCTAATTATCTATTTTTTTTAATTCTAAAAATCAGGCTGAGTCAAATCCATGGGGCATTACTTTTATTGTAGGAAAATATATTTAAAGGTAATTCTAAGCTGAATTGCATTGCAAATGCAATGGTAACTTAAAATGAATCATAAGTTTGGAAATCTAAAAACTATTTGTATGTCTGTATATTAAAAAATTTTGTATTACCATTTTAACAGCTTTTACAAATAGATATCAAAAACACACTAGTACAGTTAAACCTTAAATAAAACTGATGGGAAATAAAAGTCCTTAGATTCAAAATGGTTTATTCACACAAATTTAATAGGATATATCACAACTGTTTGGTCCATAAATATTTAAGGGAAATAGTTTCTATACAATGCATTTCTCAATAAACAAAGAAACATGGACAATTTTGCTAGACCACTTACTGTACTATAAACACGAAGCTCAATATATAAGATTATTGAATTTATCAACTATATTGGAAAGAGTGCACAACTGCTTTCTATGACATGTCTGTCCCCTCTAACAGGATACACCATAAAAAGAGTTTCAGAAATAAGAGGTAAAACAGTACAAAACTAGTGAGGTGTCAAAAGGGCTTAAAACAGTTAATTTAACAAACAACACATATATCCTGATTTTTCACAAACTTACTTCCAAGTTATCTCATAAGGCACATAGGAGAACTGAGTTATAATTAGTCTACTTAATAAAGTAGATCTATAGTACCATATATTGTTCTGTCAAAGAACAAAATTTATAAGTATCAATATTTTACCTGTAAAAGTGTATTCATAAGATCTCAGCCTTACCAAGGTTGTTTGGTCTGGTTAGTGGTAAATGCCCAAAATGTAATAGAAATATGAAAAGTCAAGATTTAAGCTCCATATAAGATGATAACCACACTTGCTAAATATATAATGGCAAACACACCTTCTTCTGTTACAGTGTTAACTTATCTTCCATCATCTTTTTTTAAAAAATAAGCTACTTTCTGTGCTAGTTTTCTAAAGACCCTGAGCAAAAGTTACAATAATGCACTTTAATGTGGGCAGTGAACTGTCAATATGTAACCACACATTTATACAACCAGAAGGACACCTTTAAAATCTATTAAATAACCACTTCGAACGCCAGAGGAGATTTAAGGGGTCCGAAAAGTGGAGAATATGTGCAAAGTTATTCTTAACAATCCACTAAAGCAAGACATATATCTTGACTTCTTTTTTATTTTTTATTTTTAGGAAATCCACAATCTAATTGATATTTAACTACAACAGAAGCATATAGATGAACATTCACCACTGCCCAGACCATTAAGATTTTAGCTTAAATTAAAAGAAAAAAAAAATGCTACTGTAAACTAGGAAATATATTCAGATTAGCATCCACAAGGCTTCTGAGTTTATCTTTAAACTAAGAACTTCAAATCTCTAACGTCAGAAAAGTTTTTCCTTTTTTTCTGACAAATACATCAACCTGTGCCGAAGTAAAATGAACCAAAACAAAACCAAAGAATTTTCATTGTTAATATTAAAGAATTTTCATTGTTAATATTAGTTACTAAGTTTTTTAACTTTATTTGTATAGAATGCCAGATACAATATCATGGTACAACTAAAGCCAATTAAGAGCTATCAATTAAATTATACTGATTTTTTTTAACTTCTTAAAAAATTATATTTTGCTTATTTCCATTTTCCCTGGGGAAAAAATAATTTAGAAAGAATGGTTTTATATCTATTATCATTTTTAGTTTGAGAAGGTTAAATGTATAAAATTTCAAATTCTGTTTGGAATTTTCATGGATGCACAGGAGGTTTAAGTATTTTTCAAATGTTGAAAAGGAGTAATTAACTAATAAGAAAGTTTTGTTGGGACTATACCCCTAAGAGAAAATAAAAGTCACATTCCTGGTTAGATTTTCCCATCTAATTAATCTTAAATATTTAGATTAGCTATTGTTTCTTTAACCATATTCCTCATTTGTAAGAAAAAGGAATGATGAAAACATTTTTTTTTTGCATTTTAAAATTTTAAAAAAATGACAATGTGAAGTTTCCAAACTTTCATAAGTACAGGTACAATTGCAAGATTAAAAAATAATTTTAATCAATTATCTGATTCCTTATTCGCCTAATTATGTAACTGGGAATATGATTCTTTGCCCATCACAATACCACTCTTTGTTGTTGTTGGGTTTTTTCCTTTGAGATTCTGGAAATAAGTAACATACAATTTTAAGAGGCACTTATTAGAATGATTCCAAAATTCCCCTTACCGACTGAACGATCTAATTAATCTTTTTTTTAAATCCAAATACACTTCATAGACAAAAGAAAAAAAAGTACAGTTTGTAAAGGAGACGAAACTGTAAACTCATTTGCCAAGTGGCTGCAAGACACTACACACCAAGCTGTCGTCGTTACTTGCCAAGTATCTTGTGGGGGGGGGGGGGGGATCGTTTTGTAAATAATAAAATAATCATTAGAATAATAATAAAAAGAAGAGGAAGAATTTAAAAAAGCCCAAAGCCCAACGTTAGAAAAGGTTCGTTAAGGTAGTCTGCGCGGGGCTGGCGGACTCGTGGCTGTCCAGGTTAGAGGTCACGGCTGTCACTACGGGGAGAGAGGGATTGGTCAGGTCTGTTAAAGTGGTCGCTGTGCCCGCTGGACTGAGCGCGCCGCTGTCTGCCGAGGGCGGGGCCGGAAGCGACGTGCCATCGGCTTTATCAACACCCCCATTCTCCTGCCGCAAAAGGTTCCTTCTGAATTTGGCTCGTGCGTTTTGGAACCAAACCTGCAAACCAATCCCAATGGATTTCTTTACCGATGTTTATTTTTATACTTCCTTTTTTGCCCCCTTTCTCTGCTTTTTTTTTTAAATTCTGTTTTGGATATGCGTTTCCCTTTTTAAATGTTTATTTTCCTAGGGGGAGAAGGGCCTTCCCCCTCCCTTTGTTTCTGTTTTCTTTTTCTGCTTTCTTTGACAAGAGAGTAATCCCAGTAGGACTACAGATACCCTCTCAGCTGCAGCGGGGCCCCCACCCCCAGCATTAACGGGTGCCGCTCGGGGGCACAGATGGTTAAGTGGGGACACCCTGGGGAAATGAAGGCACAGCGATCAAGGGGGTGGGGGTGGGGGGTGGAAATACACCCTCATCCCTCAACGGTTGTCTTTCCAGAAAGAGGACGGGCGAGGTCAGCGGATGTTTCACCAAGTTAGAATCACTCGCATGAAATGAACATCATTGAAACAGATTTCTGGCTGTTCTTGAGTCTGACACATGCCAAGTACTCTGCACAGGAAAAACCTCCAGGGCCACAGACTCCAAGCAACCGGAAACGGGTGCGTGGAATTTAAAACGCCTGCTGTCTGTCACTGAGGGTGAGAGCATCAGAGGCGACCCCCAGCCACCCACTATCAGGGCTCTGGTTAGACATTCTCACCATGATGAGCCTAGCAAGGCCCTGGGCCAGCAGGTCTCCCTGCAGTATGCAGCGGTCAAATGCGGTTGGTTAAAATGGGAAAAGACTCGCTCCGATTGGTTGCGGAGACAGCTAACCATGCTTGTGGCTTTTCACGAGCTGACCAAAAGGGTCTACGTGAATCTGGAAGCTTGCAAGGGGGGAATGAGGCCGCCAAGAGTGTGCTGAAGCAAGAGGGTAGCAGCAAGTCTCCCCAGGTGTGTGCGCACTGACCCTGACGTGGACAGAGGTCTCCAAAGCCACAGCTTGTGCAGACAGCACCACCTGCGTTTGCAGAGCAGCGGGGCAAGCGGAGGTGGCTTTGTGGGCCCGTTTCCCCATCTGTAGGGAGGATGTGGCTGCAATTTAGGAGACCCTGGGTCTCTCTCTCTCTCTCTCTCTTTCTCTGGGCAGTCTCCAGGAAGCCCCTGCAAAAGCTTGGTACACTCTCTAGGGAGGTAAGTAAGGTAACTAACGAGAAGCAGTACTGGAAATCAAACAGGGAAGAGAACTATTTTCACTGTAAGGGGAAGTTGTAGGCACAGCTAACAATGGACGCTTCTTACCTGCAAAACTCTTTTGGTCAGGCCTGTTTTCTGAGCAAGTTGCTTGAGGTCCTTGGCGTCCGGGTTGTGGTTGATGGCGAAGTAGGATTTCATGGTCCGCAGCTGGTGATGCTTGAAGGAGGTGCGCATGCGCTTGGTCTTCTGCGAGGGCGGGTAAGGCTGCTGATCCCGGTCCAGGTGGTCGGCCTCGTTCTCGTTACAACCTGCGGCAGCCACAGGAGACGAAAAGAAGGGCTCAGTGCAAGGGCCTGCCTTAGCTGAAAGGATGGCAGGTGGCATGCTCCTGTCATGACAGAACAGCAACGGTGGAAAAAGCTGTCGACCCAATTACGAGCAGGATCCAGACAAAAGAAAGAGGTTAATCGCCCCAAGTCCGCCAAACTAGTCTGTTAAGTGTGGACCCACTCGAAATTTACGCAGTAGAAAAGTATTAGATACATCTAATACATTTAGATAAGTTATTAGATAAATCTAATCCCTTTGGCTTAATGGTTGCTAGGAAGACTTGAGAAGATGAGTAAGGTCTAAGTGTGGGAGTGACAGAAATCTTCTCCAAGAGTGAAAAGGGGGGGGGGGACCCTCTTCTATTATGTGATGTGTATGAGCACGCTGGCCCTGTACACACACGGTTTTCAGGGATTCTTCATTTTGTCTGTGTTTGTGAAACAAGGTGTAGTCTGTGAAGACAGGAGGATATGCAAGCCAGTAATTTCAGCTCTCTCAAGTCTAAAAGTTTTACAGACCATCTCCCTGGCCCTGCTCCCCCCAGTGAAGGAAGGATCTAAGTTCCAATTTTTAGCCTTTTCTGCACATCCTAGAATGTTTTCAGAAAAAGTTAAAAAGAAGGGGAGAAGTTACAAAATAGAAACCTGCAAGATTCTTACATAACCAGAAGAATATTACTTTTGAGGACATTTAGCAGTAACTGGTTCACATGGGCCTAACCAGGATGAAGAGAGTTTTCCCTTGGAGTCACCGGAATAGATATTTCTGAAAGAGAAGGAGCCCAGGTCTGTCTTCACTTGGTTCATGCCAGAGTCTCTCCTCACAGCTCCCAGCTCAGAGACGCTGCTGTCCCATTCAGGTGGTGGCCCTTTTTGCTCTGGTCCTGTGAGAGCCGGAGTGTGAGCTGTGCCGCTGGCTGGCAGGCCAGGGGGAGGGGGTGGCACCTTTACCCCCCTCCACAGCCCCCTCCACACTGAGGGCAAAACCACTCAGCCTTTGAAACCAGCCTGGAAGTCTTCATCCCCAGGGTGTAAAGATGCTCATTTAAAAGGTCATTTCTGATAACCTCCTAGCTTTGCATAAAAAATATGATTACAAAAGGAAAACACTTTGCTAAATATTTACTGATTCAGCCAACTTTCGCAATTTAAAGAGCATGACAATTTTTTTTTCCTTTACACCTTACTTCAGATGTTTATCTGATGTATATTCAGACTGATCATCCAGCATTTTATTGCACTTTAATAGAATATCTAAAATCAACATGATCACATGCCTGGGGGAGAAACCAGGATCTTGAAGAATGTGAGACATCTCTTACGATTAGTTGTTCCGTTCTGCTTGATAAAATATTATATGCCTGCGATGCTCTGGTTGCATGAGTGCGTGATCAGTTGTGTCCGAGTCTCTGTGACCCCACAGACTGTAGCCTGTCAGGCTCCTCTGTCCATGGGATTTTCCAGACAAGAATACTGGAGTGGGTTTGCTATTCCCTTCTCCAATGCTTTGGCTAGAATTACTTTTTAAAAAAACACTTTCAGTGAATCAGTATATATCCAGAGACCCAACAAGAGTCACCCACATCACAAAATCCACCTAAGAAATTCTCCCTAATGCCATGAGACTAGGCATGAACTAATGACTCCTTGGTTCATATTTCCATGAGACACGTAAAGAGGGCAGGTGAGCTCATGGAAAGATAGACACTATGATGTTTACCATCGGATCCTCTATGTCCAACACAGGGCCAGGAATTCAACGAGCATTCAATCAAGATTTTGAAATTTTTTTCATCCATAAAATCATCAATGACTACTCTTGCAAAGTCATATCAACTTGAGATGGACTGCAAGTTAGATATACACAGCCAAAGGTTGAACAGAGACTCCTCAAACCCCAGTGAAAGGGCACCAGGTACCCAGAAATGAGAGAGAATAGAATATGCTTTACATTTTATCCTACTGCACCCCCAGGGAGAGATGTCAAGTTCAAATATTGTACAGAATTGCCCTTTTGTATCCCCATATGGATGAAACAGCATCTTATGACCTACTAGAAAACCGTACTTATCTCAGTAAACTGAGCTATATTTCACAACCAGATTATAAATGTAGCCACACCAAAACAGTCAAAGAGGTACACCTTAGTCACTGGAGGCTTCTTCAGATAAGATTTCAATCCTACCCTAGGTGAGTGATGTGTAACTCTTCCTGAATAGCTTATTAAACTGAATATTACACTGAGGTAGAAGACTTGACTTGGTACTTAAATAATGCCCTTAGCCATCAACCCCCACCCACAAATTACTATTTCTTAGAAATGAGTTCGATTCCTAACCAAACTATATACTTATTAGTCTCTAAAATGAATTAATGAAAAAATAATTATAGACACGTTTTTCACACACACAATTATAGACAGGTATGATAAAAACTACTTCTCTGAATATGCATTCTGTATCCATTATGGCTGATTTAAAACTCAGTAGAGAATTTCAGTGTATTAAGCACTACTGTGTGACTTGTTTTCAAGCAGAATACAATTCAGCGTGCAAAAAGATTAAGTTAGCTCTTAAGATGGTATTCGCATAAACAGAAAACTGCGGGATCAGTTATGACAGTATGGCACTTAATAGAGCAGTCTGTGTTATCGACAGAGTAACTCAGCGTATTAGCCTAAACTACTTAAATTTAACTACAAATGCCTTATGTAAACTTGCAAGTGACTGTGTTTCCTCAGGGTCTACTTTTAAAGCTATAGGGGTTCCCCCACCACCACTGAATTATGAGATGAAATGATAACTCTCTTAAAACTGTCTTAAATATACACCTGTGAGTACACACATCTGGCACTATAAAATTAATAATAAGATCTCAATATTTTACTCTCTGGTCACTTAGGAAATGGTCACCCATCAGGAAGTGAGTTTCTATTCTGAAGGTATGCAGCCCTCTGAGAAGCGATCCCAGAGAGACCACTAGGGGTCAGTGCCAGGCTAATTTAACAACTTCATGGAGCTTTTGAAGTTCGGAAGCCAAGAAAGAACCTAAGGAGGGAGATTTCAAGAAGTGGCAAAAATCTAGCCTCGCGGTTAAGGCAAAATTACCCAAACCAGAGCTATCGGCCCTAGACTAAATCTTCTTCTCACCCCGGAGGGCTTCATTTCAAACCAGCATCCCAAATAGACTTCCTGTGGCTCTTTCTAAAATATCCGCCTGCTATCTGCACAAAGAGATATAAACTAAATTAGGAACAGTCTCAAGGAAAGGCACTTGCCCTATATCAAGCATTTACGGATCTTTGCCTAGCTTCACATCCCTGGAATTCTGAGTCACAAACATATTTTGTGTACATGTGTTTGAAAATATATCAGTGTATGAATCAGATCTGTTTAGTAGCACTGTGACTCTTCTGAGACTAGTTTACATTTAAGCAGAGATGGCTTCAAAGAAAGCTAAAATAAGGAGCTAAAATTGTGGGTCCATTTTATTTTCTGCGCTTTTAACGTGGTTTTAATTCACTGAAGCGTTTCTTTGTAATAACAAATGGGCACTGGCTTGATAAACTTTATTTTAGTGGTAGGCTGATTTCTGGGCAGGCATCTTTAACCCAGTTTCTCTAGATTATTTCACCAGATCTGAACTGTACGCTGTTTGCTCGTGTCTCTGGGGAAAGTCCCGAAGGGATTCGGTGGTCGTTAATGAAGAGTTACCGGCTCTCTGTGGTGCATACTGGCTCTGTTCCGAAGGCCTCCACAACCTCTCCCTCCTTAACGAACAGAAGCATCAGCTCTCTCCAGAACCTCGCAGCGCCTTAATTTGCAGACTAACGGCGGAAGTGGAAATGGAAGTGGAATGGTCGAAAAGGAAAGAGATTCTCATTCTTTTTATGAAATAAATGTGCACTCTCTGGTGCTCCTCCTCAGAGAAGCAGGAGAAACACAATTTCATTGTTCTTAAAGCTCTGCGCATCTTTCTAACGTAAAGTAAGATCAAGGCGAAATCAAATGAAGCTAATTAGGTTAAACAAACAATCGAAGAAACCGGGCTTGCCGCCTTTGGCTAGAAAGCTCCTCCCCACGCTTCTGGACCTTCTGGGAGCCTCTGCTCCAGGCTTCCTGCTCTCTGCAGACCCAACTAGTCTCTCTCCCTCTCTCTCTATTTCTCTCTCTCTCTCTCTCTAATTAGGGCATTAGGGCCTTGGTGAGTGCCTAGAGATTCCGATGTCATCTTCTATTAATAAAGAACAATCGGTGCCCTGCCTGGCCGCCCTGGGACCACGCATCAAAGGAGCCCAAGTAACCACACTGGGCATCGTGGCCCCGAATCAGCCTGCTGGCCGAGGCGCAGAGGGGCGGTGGGAGGCCGTGACCCCCGGCAGGGGGTTGGCAAAACCCGGGGGTGCACCCACTGCGGGACACCATCCCATCTAGGCTAGGTCTGCAGCCAGCAGCGGGCCCTCCTCCTCCAGTGACCCAGGGTTGAACCCCTGGGACAAAGGTCCCCAGCTTCTCGGGGACATCCCCGCTATGCTTCATCTGTGAAATCTGAGCCAGGAGGGAGCTGAGGGGAGAGCTGGCCAGAGCCCCCTTCAGCCAGCCAGATCCCGCCCCCCCAACACTGTGGGTTCAGAGCAGGACCCATTTCCGCTTGCTCACACTGGCTGAGTGTCCCTGGGCGAGTCACTTATTGGGGGGCAGACAGCGTCCCTTTACTACTGAGCCAGAGGGGCTCATGCACCACACCAGGTACGTGGGGACTGGAAGAGAAAGCCAGGCAAGATCCATGCTCTGGGATGCCCACCCTTCGACTGCCATCTGGGTGCGCCTGGTAACAGAGCGCGGTGGCCACCGTGAGGTCCCCAAGGTCCTTTCCAACAGAAAGGGCTCCCTGAGCCCGAGTCTCCTGCCGAAACGTCCAGTGGGGCTGGGCCAGGGCACCGAAAGTCAGAACGGCTAAATGGGGCAACAGAGGATGAGATGGTTGGATGGCATCGCTGACTCAAAGGGCACGAGTTTGAGCAACCTCCGGGAGATGGTGAAGGACAGAGGAGCCTGGAGGGCTGCAGTCCATGGGGTTGCAAACGGTCAGACAGGACTTAGCGACTGAAAAACAACAAACCGGTCCTGAGGACGCCCCTAAGTGAGCTCTAGGGTTTTCTGGAACCTGTTTTCCAGAGCTTCCATCCTGCTTAGAGGTAGACTGTGGTCTTGGGGGCCTGTCACCATCCTCACGTGGGGGCTGGAGAGTGGGGGGCAGGCTGCCAACAAGGGGGAACTCGTGAGCAAGACTGATGAATGATAGGTGTGCCCCCCCCACCCAAGCAAGGAAGAAAGCTGCTCTCTGGCCTGTTGCCTGCATTTTGTTTTTAATTAAGAGGGAAAGCTGGGGGTGGGGGGAGGAGGGATGGTCTGGGTGTCTGGAGGGTTTATCACAGGGCAGTGAGCTGGCCGGACAGACCCCTGACCCAGGGAAGGGGCAGACCAGCTCACATCGACTCTAGAGAGTGACTCCTGCCCCTCCAGTCACTCTGCACCAACATGACGGATTTGGTTTTTCAACATTCATGCCAACTGTTTCCCTGATTAACTCTGGGCTGGTGACCACAGCCTCTGTCCCCTCTAGACACACTGGGCTGGCCTCTGAAGATTTCTTTCTTTCTTTTTTTCTTTTTTAGTATTTAGGGAAACCTCCTCCAGGATCTATAACTTGGCCTCCACACAGGAATTGCCCTGGGGCTGTTTCGCTCCAACTGGGAGCCAGAAACTAATGGGCTCATTAACTAATGGGCAACAAGGATTTGGCTCTGCCTGTTTGGGGGAAGTCGCTGCAGCCCCAAGGTGCTGAATGTGTTTCTGGCCACAAACGAAATAAAGGTGTCTCTCTCTCCCTTTCTCCCTCTCCCCTCCCCCGTCCCCCTTCTCTCTCCTCCCTCTCTCTCTCACTCCATCGTCCAGCTTCTTTCTGAGTGACCGAGGGCTGTTGGGAGAAAAGGGTCATGCTAAGAAAAGTGCCCTCTTGCAACCAGCTCTCGGCCGGGGGAGAAGCCAGATGGAACTCTCCTCCGGGCAGACCCGGGGCTAGGGCTGCAGGGGCGGCGAGGAGGGGGTGGGCGCCCACCTGAGTTGTAATTGACAATGTCCACCCCCAGCGCCGGGCTCTTGCGTTTCCGGGGCCGCCCTTTCTGCACGGTGCCGGTGCCATTGAAGTAAGGCAGGGCCAAGCCGCCGCTCTTGGCCGCCAACTCGCTGTAGCTCAGCTGCGGCGGATACTCTCCTTGCAAGAGGGTCTCGAAGTGGGCGCGGCAGTACACCAGGCTGTCCTTCATGCCAAAATGGTCACCCGTGGTCAGGGTCTTGTTGCACGTGGAGCAGGTGAAACAGCTCAGGTGGTAAACGGAGTCTCGGGCGCGCATGACCATCTCGGAGGCGGAGATGCCGAGGTGGCAGCGGGCACATCTCTGCACAGAGAACCTTCTGGAAGGAAACAGTGGCGTCAGGGAGCTGGCGGAGGCCAAGGCAGGGCCACCTCTCACCGAGGCACCCAGGGGCTTGGTCAGCAGCGGCCCAAGATGGAGATCCGGGAGGGAGCCGGGAGGGGAGGACCCACGCCCTCTTGGATATATTTATTTTATCTGCTGATTGACCTGCTCTGATGAATATGACAAAGAACCCTTACATTAAAATAAGAAGAATCTAGAAAGTGATCCTCAGTTTTCTTTCCTGTAAAGTAAAAATTTTAAAAAGCAAAAACCAGAACAAACCGTGCCCTGGCTAACTCACAACAGTATGTTAAGAATATTAAATTGCGATGCCAAGTGAAACCGACTCCTCGATTACAAGGCATTCACAGGAAGGGTGTTGTTATTTATAAAAGTATGAGTGTGCATGAAGATATTCAGACACTGCCCTGGGGGGGGGGGGCGGAGACAGTTCTGCAGAGGAGAGCTAATTCTTTTTTAACCACTTTTCTCGCCTCGGCAGAGAGCGAGGCCGACCGCTCCTGTCCCCAAGGCAAGAAACACGGAGCAGAGCCAATGAGCATGCTGCGGCCAGTTCTCTCTCCGGCGTCTGGGGAGTCTGGGGGCAGGTTCCAGCCCGCTGCGCTCAGGGCATCTCCGAACTGAGTGGCCTGGGTTTTGGCAACAGCAGTTATTCCTTTTCTTGATCATTTAGGTGACTTCCCCGCCACCCTCGCGAAAACCTGACAGCCAGCAGCTACTGCTGCTGCCTCGGCCACCGGCTCAGTTCCAAGGCACCGGCCTTGCTGAGTTCGTAGTAAACGGAAAACACAAACCCGCTTAAGCCTCGGTAGACGGGGGACACGTTCATTGACCCTCCTAGGACATGCTCAGTTCCCTCAGTGGTGTTCTGGGGGCGCCTGAGCGGGAGAGTCTAGAGCAGGTTCTGGACCTGGGGTGCCCCCCTCCCGGCTCCCCGCGCGTCTGGCAGTGGTGGGCACGCTGCAGTTTGAAGGCGCACACCGGGGGCTTCCCTGGGCAAGGGGGGGGGAGGCAGGGAGGGGACCCAGGGGCTCGGGCTGGCGGCCCCGCCATGGGGGTAAGGGATGGGGTGTGAATACCTGTAGTAATCCTCTTTGCAGTAAATGCTGCCGTCCTTGGCGAAGCAGGTGAGCTCGGACTCCAGCGCCAGCTTACATTCACAGCACTTCAGGCACCTCAGGTGCCACTGCTTGTCCACGGCCAGCAGGTAGTACCTGTCGGCGATCTTGCCCCCGCAGCCGGCGCACAGGGCGGGCTTCTCCGGGCTCAGCGGGGGCATGCCCTGCAAGGAAGAGCGCGCGCGCGCGCGGTGAGAAGCGCGCGGGGCCGCCCCACGCGGGTCCCCGGCGCAGAGCCAGCCCCCCGGCCTCCGCGAGCGCCGCCGGGTCAGGGGCCCCTCCACGAAGGCAGACATGGGGAAACGTTTGCAGTTTTTCCTTCTGCCACTTGTACTCTTTCTGCCGCGTCCGTCCGAACCCGGACTCAACCTAAAGACCCGCTGGTCACCTAGAACATTTTCCGAAAGGGCTAGAAGCGCATGGACTGTATAAATGGTGGAGGTTTCCGAACTCAAATAATTAAATCTTAAAAAGTGTGGCTTTCGACTCGCCCGAAATGAAACGACAGAAATTGTTGTTGGAGGACGAAAGGGAGATCTGAACAAGAACATACTGGTTTTCAGCAAACACTATTACATTTCTCTTTATATCACTATAAGCAACGTTGAAAGTACAAGAGAAGGGAGAAGGTTTAATACTCGTGCTCATAATGTGGCCGATGTTGTTTCCATCGAAATATATTTGGCAGATCTTGCTGTTCTGTCATCTTCGGGATTATCGGTCCTTCTCCTACTAGGCACTGTACCTATTCCCGGGAGGGTCCGTTATCCGATCACCTCTGCACAGGCCCCCATTCCCTGACATCAACATACCTCGGAGATCTTTGTTCTGAAAATCTTTCCAATGCCGACGTTAAGCTTCCCCTCTGTGTCCCCACGACCCTGTGAGGAAGGGGACCGCTCGCCTTAAGCGGAACCCCGCCGTGAAATTTGGATTTGTATTACCGCATTTTGTTTTTAAACGGGATAGCCACAAAAGGTGGGTGGTTAACTGCGGGACATTGCCCTCAGGACTAGCAGAAATGGGTTGGACTTTCCCCTTTGAAACCCCGGCAGGCCTGGAAAAGTAGTTTAGCCCTTTACTCAGACCAGCCCCCACCCGCCCACCCACCCTCCCTCCCTCCCTCCCTCTCGCACTGAAACCATTTTGCTCGGCTACTTGGTGGACCCCAAACACCGCTGACCGGCCCCGGGCAGTCTGTCCACCGGCTTAGTTTGAGCTGCGATTCCCGGTGTGACGCCCGAGGATCTACACAGCTCTGTTTGGCTCAAACTCTGCGGAGACGTCTGTCGTTTCCCCCCTCCGGCTCGTAAATGGGAAAGGCGAGCACAGAGATCGTTCATTACTTTTCTTTCCGAAGCGGGCCTGACTTTTATCCTACATGCCTAATCGACACAGCGTGGTCGATCACAGCGTGGAAGGGTTAGAAAGTTCTCGCGCTTGGGCTCGGCGCCCCGCTCCTCCGGACTTTCTATTCTACTCCCCAGCACGCTACGAGCGCCCGGCCGAGGAGCTGACCGAGCCGGGCTGCCAGAGACCCCCAGACCATGGCGGGCTTTGCGCGTTCCGCGTCTCGAGCGTCCGGAGGACGCATTCTAGTCCACCCCGAAAGGCCGGTTTCCAGACCCAGGGACTGGAGACCCGGAGCTTCAGCTCGACCTGGACGCTCGGCCGCGCGCCGCAGCCAGTGGCCCGCACCCGCTCACCCTCGGGCCGCCGATCCTCGCCGGGGAGGTGCCCGGGAGCCCAGCGGGCCGGGAGACCGGCGTCTGCGCCGCCGGGGAGGACGTCGCCATCCTCTCGTGCCCGACTAGCCCTGCTTCCCCCGGACCAGCTGCGGCGGAGACGAGCGAGCTCGGGCTCTCAGGAATGTAGCTAAATCAGAAAGGGGTCTTTTCTTGCCCCGCAGCAGCCAGGCGAACCGAAGATAACCCACCCGCCGATCCGCAGCGGACGCGCCTACGAGCCGCCACCCTCGCCCGGCCGCCGTGGCGGCTCGACTCGGCTCCCCCTGCGCGCGCGAGCGGGCTCCCGGCTCCCGCGGCCGCCGGCCCTTCCTTACCGCGTCGCGGCCGTTGAGCTGGGCGCCTTTGGTCAGGCGGGCCTCGCTCTTGGATCTGCGCTCCATCTCTTCCATGATGCCTTGGATGTGGCCTCCAGAGATCCCGTGGAAGAGCATGGCTGGAGGGCGGAAAGGACACGAGCTGTCTTCTGCTCGGCACCCCACTATTTCCATATACACTCGCCCCGGGGACTCTCAGCTCCTCCGAGGAGGAGAAGCGGGGAGCGCAGAGGCGGGGCGATGGGAGAGCGCCGAGACGCTCGGGGACAGAGGGAGAGGGGGAAGAAGGAAAGAGGCAGCCGCGTTGGAAATGGGTCTGCTAGGAAAAGAAAAAGCAGCGGGGGGACGCCAGCCCCGGCGACTCCCTGAAGGAGATGCGCAGAAAACAAACGGGAACCGGCGAGCGGAGGCGAAGCAGACGGATCTGACCGCTCCGAGAGCTCGACTCACTAACGGGGAACAACGGCAGCGGGCGGGGGCGGGGGGGGGGGGCAAAACCTGGTGGAGAGAGAAAATAATTTTGAACACAAAGAAAAAGAAGTGCTATTTTCAGCGGTCCCTGGCCGCTTGCAAGTTCCCAGCGCCTGTAGGTTGGGTTGGGGACTGCTCCTGCCGCCGGAGCGGTGTCCAATTTGTTAAGAGACTAAAGCCAGCCCATTTTTGATAATTTAGTAGGAGGAGTTCTCTCCCGGAGCCGCCACGGATTTTTATTCAGACAACAAAGACCTGTCATACTCCTCTCAACCCCCTGGTGATGGGGAAGCGGGGACAAACACTGGGGGGGGGGGAGGCGGGGAGGGTTTGGGGGAGGCAGGAGGAGGGGGCATTTACTTCCACACACACACACACACACGCACGCACACACATCCTTCCAGGAGTTCCCAGCAATCACGTTTTAAAGGGGAAAAGGAACCCTTATTGTCCCCGCCCTGGCGCAGAAGGCAGAGAGTCGGCCTGTTTGGTCTAAGTTCAAGATCAGACCCAGACTCAAGAAATGCAGAATCCCAGCCCCAAACTTCACGTCTCCTCCTTGTGGACCTTCCGGTCCCCAGCTCGAGGGGACCCCAAATAAATAAATATTGGGACACCCTCTCCTCCCCCACCCCTGACTTCCTCCACTCATTTAAAAGCAGGTTCTGCTTCACCTCCCCACGGCCTCCCGACCCCACCTGGGGCTGAAGCAAGCCCCAAAGTGAGAAGGAACCAGGAGAGCCTCTGTTTCTGGAGTTTACTTCTGGCAAAAAAAAAAAAAAATCTTGGAACAACCAGTGTAGGGGACAGGGCGTGGGCTTGGAGATGAGTGTGCAGCCTCAGCGTGGCCACGGGGGGCTGCCGGTTCAGGTTAGGAGAGAAACCGATGGCGAGTCCCGTGTCCCGGAGGAAGCCTGTCCATGTGGGCAGCGACGCCGGGACCCGCGGGAGCTTGGCGCCGCCCCCCACATCCCGGGACCGGTCGCGCGCCCCGCTGCCCTGCTGGACTGGGGACCTGTAAACGTGGGCGCCCCGCGCGGTGAGGAGGATGCGAAGGGGCTCCTCGCCGTGGAGGAGGGCGAGGTGAGAGCTGACGAGCGGAACGGCAGCCCCCGCGCCTCACAGGAGGCGGGATTGTTACCGCGAGTCGCGGCCCCTCCTCGGCCCTGTTAAAAAGTGGCCACAATACTCGGATATTGTCGATTCATGCAAACCGCCAGAAGCCCCCGAGGGGCCCGACACGGGGAGCGGCGGCAGGAACCGACCCGACTCCCAGCCGAGAGCGGGAAGACCCGGCGGGCCTCCGCGGGCCTCCCCGGGGCTGCCCGTTCCCCCATGGCGCCCCGTCGGCTTTGCGGGAATCGCGCGCTTCTCCCGGCAGGTCCGGGACACCGAGGGGTCCCCTGGTGGCAGACTCGCGTCCCTCCCGGAGGAGCCCGACCGGGAACGGTGGCCAAATCTAGAAAGATGGGGAAAGGGAGGAAAGAAGGGGGGAGGGAGGAGAAAGGAAGGAAGACGAGAACGGTGCCGATCCGACTTCCTGTCCCAAAGCATCGCCTTCTGAAGCTGCTGGAATCGCCTCTGCCATGAAACCCAAGACTCGCCTGCTTCCCCCTTGCTCTTTTCTCAGGGTAAAAAAAAAAGTTATTTTCAGACTGGACGCTGTTACGGTCCTCCGGGTGCCAGAATACAGCTCATAAAACACAATTTCACACACACACAAAATGAAGCCAATCAAGTGAACTGAACTGAAGACCTCCTCCCCCCCACCCCCTCAGCTCTACTGGACAGCAGGGCTGCTATTTACTGTAAGTAATGTAATTAGCCCCTTTGGAGGGAAATCAATGAACTTTTCAAACCCACGTGCACCAGCGCAGGGGCTGGGGGCAACACCTCTTTAAGAGACTGCAGGTCCTCTCACAAAGGGGCAGACTGCCTTTCCACAAGAAGGGACCGGGCCCAGGGAAGGGGAGAGGGAGGAGGCGGAGGGGGAGGAGGGAGAGGAGGCGGAGGGGGAGGAGGGGGAGAGGAAAGAGGAGGGGTCTCTGAGAAGGACATCCTTTAACCAAGGAGGCTCCAAGGGAAAGTAAACCTGGGACCTCAATCCAGGGACTCCTTTGTCCAGTTTCTGGGCTAACGCCCCCCGCCCCCAGGTGGAGGTTGGGAACTGGGTTTGGGTTTGGCTGTTGCTGGATCTGGGTCCTGCTCAGCAAAAATAAAGAGCTGGAGCACGCCACTGCTTTCTTGCTGGGGATGAAAGTTTGGAGACTTCATTAAGTGAGGGTTTGACCAACAACTCCAAGGAGAGGCCAGAACTTTGGGAAGCGTCTCCAGGGAAGCAGGCTCGGAAGGCCTGTGAGCCCTCCACTCCTTGCTTCCCTCATTTGTCTCCTGCACACACAGATTTGCTCCTAGACCGTCCAGTACAGGCAGGGCAGGGGGCCTCCTGCCATCAGCTTCCGGGTTGGAGCCCGCTGTCTCGGCTTTTTCTTATAAAACTCGGGTTATAAGTTCCTGTGCCAGGTGGGATTTGCTAACTTCACATAAAGATGCCAACTGTTCGCGTTCTTCCTTCTCTGCCAATGCAGGAAGTTTGCCGAGACCTCGGGGTGGGGCAGGGGGGCTGCTGGAGTTTGGGAGGTCCTCCTTAGTCCTGTGGCTGTCAGAAATCGCTCCCGGTGGGTCCAGCCCTGCCTACTCTCCCGGCTCCAGGAAAAGGAAACCCACTGGGGGAAGGGGAGACTCCCAGAACTGGGCTGTGGCCTGGGACGTCCTATTGTCTTGCAGCCTCGGGGAGATGCCCCCCGCCCCCCCAGCACTCTCAAGGGACAGTAAGCACTTCCAGGAAAGGGTCTTGGTGTCTCTGCCTTCTTTCATCTCTCAAGAGGAGGTGCTGGGGCCACGGGGCGGCCCTGGGGTGCTCCATACACGCTGGGGTGCTGCTCGCTCAGTTCCCAGGGCTGAGTCCCCGCACCTCTGGCTGGGACAGGTGCAGGAACCGCCCCCGGCTGCGGCCCGCAGTGACTTCTCCAGGCTCCCGTCTAAACTCAAAGCTCTCTTTGGGGCAAGGCGGCAGAACCCTGGCCAGGGGCTGCCCTCCGCCCGACGGAGCACACTTCACCCACTCTGCCCTCTCTGCTCCGCCAGCCGCTGTGGCGGCTTTGAGGAAAGCGGACGGCAGCGACTGCGGACACGGGAGTTGGGCTCGAGGGTCGAGGTCCCGGAATCTCCTCGAGGGCCGCAGCCGGGTTCCTCTCCAGGAGAAAGGGAGGGAAATAAAGGGAACGCACGGCTTCACCCAGGGGCTGACGAAGGCTTCAGGGTCGAGAGAGGAGGCCTCCAACTGTGAGCACAAGCGAGGTCTCTTTAGACCTGAATTTTGGAGGTCAAGGTGCTCTGCCCCGGGTTTGCCCTTAAAAGGGCAGAGGGCACCTTTCCTCCTGACCCTATTAAGGTGTGGACGGTCCTCCTTGGTCTGAAGGGTGCAGCTCTCGAAGAGGTGTCCGGCTTCCAGCATTGCCCTGAGAACCCCGGGGCCCGGGAAGTCAGAGCCGTCCTAGGGCTGGGACCCGAGCACCCAGCCCTGCACGTCGCAGGGGGTCTCCGCCCGGCGAGGGGTGGGGGAGGCGAGGGGCTGGCCCCGATGCTCGCCGGCCTGTCTCCATCCTCGGGCTCAGGGAAACTGTGGGTACACCGAGGCGGCAGGGCCAAGCCTGGCGCCGCCGCCAGGGCGCACCTCGGCGTCAGTCCTCGGAGGAGGGCCTCCAGCCCTGGTGGGAGTGGGCTGAGCGGCTCCGGGCTGCGCGAGCTCTACCGCGCGGAGAGGGAGCCCCGCGGCAGGCCCCGCTGGTCACCTCGGCCCGGAGTTCTCCCCGCGCCCGCGGCGCGCGCGGGGCCGTGCCCTCGGATGCGCCCTGCGCCTACGCGCCCCCTTCTCCCCTCAAGGCACCCGCCCCTGGGTTCTTCTCTAAGGGCCCGCCGCCCGGTGGCGAAGACCGAGCTTCTGAAATCTGAATCCCTTTCACCTGGGATTTGCCGCGCCGCCGGCCAGCCGCAGCCGCCGGAATAAAGGGAGCCGTCCCCCCCCCCCCCACCCCAGCCCCAACTCCGCGTCTGCGGAGATCGCCCACAGAAACGGCTGCGCGGGGGTCAGATTGAACCAAAAATGGGGGGTGAAGGCAGTTTCCGGAGAAGAGGCATCTTCCTAGCCGCCCCTCCCCGCCCGCCCCATCCCTCCCCATCTCCCCCATCCCTCCCCATCTCCCCCATCCCTCCCCATCTCTCTCCTTCTCTCCCCGCGAGGAGACGCCCCCAGCAGCTTCGCCGAGGACCGGAACGCATCCCTGGTGCCCAGACAACGCGCGGCGCAGTGGCCGGGCGACCTCCGGGCCCCGGCGCCTGCACTCCGAGAATCTCAGGCCTCGGAGAGCAAGGCCGGAGGAGGGAAAGGCGGCTTTCACGACTGCTGTCAGCGGACTCTGAACGAGACCGTGTATTTTAGAACCTACTGATCGCGGTACGATTTCCAGGGCAAGCACGACCCCTCTTCCTCTCACCCGATGAAGGGGGGCGGCACACGCGCGTGCACACCCACTTACACACCCACGAGATACATGCTCCGGCCTAGGGCACAGGGTATGAGAGAACCTGGCGGGGAGCTCACCTGCCTCCAGAGCGGCGCCGTTCAGCATTCTGCGAGCTCACGCCGCTCACGCCGCGATGGTGGCTGCACCGCAGAGAACCCGCGCGTCAGCTCCGAGGTGCGGCCCGGGGCCCCGCGCGCCTCCCCCCACCCGGGAGGCGCTTCCCAGCCGCTCCTCCCGCCGAGGCTTCGGGGGCCGAGCGGCCTCCGGGGAAGCCGGGCCGCCTCCGGTAGGTGCCCGGGGCGTTCCTGGGCGCCCAGAGGTCGGGAGCACACCGGGGGCGGAAAACTGCTCGGACCAGACAACCCGAATCGAAATCTTACCTTGAGGTCCAGACGTTCCCTCCAAGAAGCCAGTCCGGGGCGAAGGAGGGCGAAGGAGGGCGGGCGGCGGGCGGCCAGAGGTGCGAGCCAGTTCCCAGAATCTCGCCAAGGGGTCCTCTGTAAATCCAAATAAATAAATAATCAGGTGGTTGGTGGGTGGGTCTCTCTGTGTCTCTCCCCTTCTCCTCTCCTCTCCCTCTCTGTCGGAATTGACCCGAATCCCTCACCTCTGACCCGCAGCTCGCTCCACCTGTCTTTTATTTCTATTTATGCTTCCAGATCGGGAGGAGGAGGAGAAGGGGTGGGCACAGGGCAGCGGCGCGGGCCAGGGCCGGGAGACTGGCTCTGAGGCTGCGTTCAGCCCTCCCAGCCTCTCAGCAATCAGGGGAGGTGTTAATGGAGGAGACGGCCGGGAGGGACCCTCATAAAGCCGGGAGCCCCTCGAGGACTAGCGTCCCGCGGCGCGCCCAGCTCGCCTCCCCCCCCCCACCCCCACCCCCACCCCCCCGCCGGTCCGCCTTGGCCTTCCCGGAGATGCTGGCACCTCAGAGATGCTGTCTCTGCCAGCTGGTGCCCGCATAGACGGCGAGCGGGCGGGAGCGCCTGGAGGGGCGCCGGGGGCTGAGCCACGGATTGCCCGCCAGCCGCGCCCCCTCCTTTCCTCTCGGCCCTCCGGGGCCGGGCGCCCGCAACCCAGCCCTGCGCGGTGCGCTCTGCGCGGGAGGGTGGCCTTCTCCGCCAGATCAGCGCGCCGACCCCAGGTATCCTTGCAGCCCGGCTCCGGCTAGGAGGCGGGGACGGCGATCCATCTGGAGAAAACCAACTCAGAGCCTGGGAGACGAGCGTTCTCCAGCACAGACTCCGATCCCCGGGAAGGGGCGGGTGCCAGGGTACCTGGAGGGTCTCGGCTTCCCGAGAGGCTGCGTCGCCCCCAGCAACCCCGGACGCAGTCAGGCCTCGAGGAAACGGACGGAGAACCGGGAAGCCTGGCCTCTGGCCAATTATTTACCCAGTCTCCCCACCCGGCCTCCCCTCGCTCTCAGAGGTGGGGGCGGGGATCACCCAGAGGTGGCTGTGCGGATGGGGAAGGGGTAGGAGCGGCGAGACCGGCGGCCCCCGGATGCGGTCCCGGCAGCGCCGCCGCCCTGCCCACCTACCTCTGTCTCCCTCCCTGGCCACCGCGCGCGGGTCTAGCGTGCAGGACACTGGGGGCTCCGCGCGCCCGCGAGCCGCCAGCGACCACTGCCCGGGATTGGGGGCACGTGGCGCTGGACACAAGGGTGTACCCACCTCTTCTCGCCCTCCCCGCAAGCTCCGCCACACACTTCAGTGCTGGCAAGGAATCCAGCGGGAGCCGCGAATCAAAGCCCTCTGGCTTAGCCTTTCCGCGCCAAGTCGCGGAGTGCAGCTCGGAGCCCCCCGGTGGAGTTCTTCTTTCTCCTAGACCCTTGGCTGCCCCAGACGGTCCCATCAGCCAACCAGTCCTACTAGTTGATCTAAGTTTCCCTCATCGCCCCCCACCCCCTCCCTTTTCCCCTTCCCAACCCGTCCTCCTCAGCTCTTTCTCCCCGGAGAACGCCCCCATCTCCGCTTGTTTCCCCAGCCTCCCGGGGTCCGCTCCCCCGCTCTCTGGCGAGGCCATTGAATTGGATCGACGGCGACCCCGATCCGAAAACGTTCAGGTCCTCCCACTCGTCAAGGTCCAAAGCAGCGGGCTTTATTTAATCTCTTTGGGGTCACGAACCGTTTTAGGTTATTTGATTTTAAAAAATGCTTTACACACACACACACACACACACACACACAGAAGCAGGCAGAGACGCGCGCACGGAAGCTCACGCTTCAGAAGGCAGATTTCGGATGGGAAAATGTGATCGCCAGGAATCTTCCAGTCCACCCACCCCCGCCCCCCACCCCCACCCCCACCCCACCCCCCCGCCGGGCAAATTGCACCCCTCCGGTCTGGGTGGGCTGCTCTTCCCGGTGACCACCCGCCTCCGCCAAGAGACAGTTGCGAGTTCTCCCACGACTTTTTCTCGGGAATCAAGCTTTTCCAGAGGCGCGCACCCCCCATCCACCCCACCCCAATATAAACTTAACCGGCTTTCTCTTTTTTCCTGAGGGAGGAGATAGTTTGGGCATCCAGAAGTACCTTTTAATTGTTGCAGGGCAGTGAAGGCTACCAATAGCAGCGAGTTTTAATCCTCCATCACATCACGGGCAGACGTCCCCTCCACAACTCAAGCCCTTGCTCCAATGTAGAGAAGATAAAAAGGCAGGTGTTCCCACACAGTGGAGGCGCGGGGTGCGGGGGGCGTTCCTTCGGGGGTCCGCGAGGCCTCAGAGAGCTCAGAAAAGGCGACAAGCCCATGGCCGTTGGCCAGATCCTGGGCCCCCTTCTCCAACAGACTTGTCCGAAGACCCCCGCTGGCGTCCGGCGGTGGAACCCGGCGCGCCGGACACTCCCGAGATCGCCTTAGGACACCGCGCACCGCGAGGGACAAAGACCCGCGCCGCTCCCGGGGAGCACCCCCCTTTCTCGGGCCCCTTCTGGTCCAAATACAGCCAGACCGGTGTGGGAGCCCCAAGTTGCACAGGGTTGGAGGGGCGGTAAATAAAAGCCCTTCCCCTTCTGGCTCTGCAAAATCGATGGGGTCGGTGTGGCTTTTGAAGAGCGGAGAGTGTGCTAGCAATCCACCTGCTGGGCGAACAGCCAGGGCCGGGCCTTCCCGGGAGAGAGGACCAGACGCCCCGGCAGGAAGCTTTCCCCACCCTCCGCCCCGCTAAACCCCGCACGACGACCCCTGCTTCCCCCGGGTCTTTCCGTATTAGAAGCAATCTAGAAATCAATCTCCCTTGATTTATGGTGCCCGCCTCGCGGCGGCAGGAACCTCCAGAAGTAGCCCCCGAGTTGATTTAAACCGGGAAGTCTATTTCTCAGGCATCCACATGTGTTTGTACACACACACCCAATAAGAAACCTGACTTTTTACTTTACAATGTGCGAATACAATATAGCTGGAAGCTCTCGCGGCGAGGCCCATTTATGTGGCAGTATTGTGTTTAATGTGGGAGCACCCGCCGCTGCCAGCCCTCCTGGGGGGCTTCACCAGCCTCTCCCCCAGAACCGCGGCGGAGAACTTGAGACCTTGATTCGCGAGCTCTAGAGGCAGGGAAGAGTCTGAGCGCCCCCATTCCCGCCCCCAGCCCACCCCAACCCCACCCCAGCGGCGGCTCCTTGGCTGTGGTTGTGGGGAAGGCTTTAGAAGTTATGGCAGGAAGAGTCACAGAGGCCTCCCGCGATGGACGTCCTACTTTGGGCCGGGTCCCCACTGCAGGAGGTGAGTTGGAAGGAGGAACAGGCGCGCGTCCAGGAGGCAGCATCCGGACCTTCTTCCCACCTTCCAAGGCGCTTTCTAGAACACTGTCTAAACAAGGCGGGGCGGGGCGGGGCAGAACTCCAAGTGAACTTGCTTTCCTCTTCCTCTCGTTTCTCCAGAAAAAATGGCCTTTTAGAGTCCGTTTCCTTCTCTTTTTAACTCTTGGGACTGCTAAAGAAAGCCCCATCCAGCCCCCACCCAGAAGATGGCTTTGGTAATCTTCAAATCTGCCTGGAACCCTGGAGCTAGCCACTGCTCCTCGACCTAAGAATGGAAAGGAAATTGGCTGCCAGGAGTCCACAGACCTTTCTGGAAAGACTGTCACAATGCTGGTCTGTTCTCTGCTTCTCCAAAGAGCTCCTGGAGAGGGCAACCCCAGGCCACAGACACAGACACTACTCTTTCCGCCCAAGGAGGATGCTAAGGCCCATGGGACAGGGTTGTTCTGGGAACCTCAGTTAGAGCATCAGAAACCCAGGGGCACCAAAACTGCCCACAGTTTTGGGGAACAATGTAATATTTGACATAAAATGAATACTGGAAGTCATGGAGTCTTAGAGACTTAATGGTGTTTTTTTTTTTTTCATTCCTTTTAAAGCTTAGAAGGGCTTTTGTTTTGAATAGAATATGGGAGAAGGCATCAGACATTTTTGTTGCTTAAGCTTTGTAGAAATCTTTGGGGGGAGGGGGGACCTTCACTGGGGCCACAGGCAGAGATTAAGGCAGACCTCGGAGATGTTGGAGAACCTTTCAAATTCTGCCTGGAGTAAAAGCTGAGGGTCAGCTCTGGGTAAAGCCAGTCTGCCATCTCAAATCAGCTTCCCCTGGCCAGGAAAAGGTTTCCTGAGGACTGCCCTGGTCAGGGGGAAGCCGGGGAAGTGTGGAGAGGGTGGTCCCCGGGGGGTCCTAGAAGCCCAGGGTCTTCACAGAAGTGGACTGAAATGGGTGTAAAGCTAATAAACACCCTAAGACAGATCAGCCTGCGTGCGGAGTGCCATCAGAGGTAGAGGGGTAAAATGTGAGAGAGAGGAAAAACAACTGTTTAGGTGAGGCGTCTTCAGTGGCCTGACCCCGAAGTCGGAATGATTTAAAGTTTTTATTAGGGGAACAGATGGAACATGAGCATGCTTCTTGCTGGGGAAGAGCGCTTCTTGAGCACTCATATACATCAACCTCCTCACAGCTCAAGATGTAAATAAAAGGCAGGATGGAGTCAGACTCTTCTATCTGCCAGCAACCTCGCTTGGGTTGGCAGCACTGAAGAGAAAACCGTAGGGAAAGTAGGGCTATAAAAAAAAAAGACAAAATCAAGAGCTACTAATGTGACCTGATTGCTGGTATTTATTTAATGGAAGAGTCATTATTTTCTTTTTTCCAACATATGTCTGATAATGAAGCAAAAAGAAAGCAAAATAACTATCAATGTGCCACTTCAGAAACACAAATATTTGCTAACTTTTTCATTTTGTTGATGTTCTTTTAACATATGTACTTAAGATGAATCCCGTGCTTAAGTACTAACAGCCCAGAAAGCCATTCTGGATTAAAATTTATTTATTTTTAATAAGGCTCAGTTAGATGGAGAACAGAGATAAAATTGTTGTCACACATAAAAATAGGAATTGAACTGCTTCTTTTTGGATGGATCTTTAACATTGATTTGACCATATGGACACTGCAAAAGAAAGAAGACAAGTTATTGTTGAATTATTTAACAGTCATCTTGAAAAAGTGCGTGTCTTATGGTGAAAAAGAGAGACTGCTGATAATGTTCTATAGATTATTTGATCTACTGCCTACAGACTCAGAGGAGGACGGTGGCAACGTCTGCCAAATGGTCCTAATTAGGGTCCAAGAATCACTTCCTAAATGCATCCTTCCAACTTGAAGAATTTTACCATCAAAACCTCACCCTTAAAAAAAATCCTCCAAGTCCTCAATTCAGGCAAAGCTCTTAGGCATTTGATTAGAAACAGCTAATGGCACAGGTAGGAACATCCATAAAAGCGAAGACTTAATTTATCAATACTGGCTAATATAAGGATCTTAGTGATGGTTCCTTGATATAAACTGGGTCAGTTAGAGCAAATAACAACTTCTTGCCCCCCAAACATACAAAGTGGTCTATAAACAGAGGTTATCTGTTTATAATCTCAACTGCCTAACAGTTTCTCTTACTGGTATGCTCTAAAAAGGTTACCATGAAGAACCCATTCCCATTTATTTTTTGCTCAAAATAGGGAAGGATTACATATTTAGCACATCTTAATTGGTGAGCATAGGGATTTAGGGTTGCTGAAATATACATTTTAGGAAATGTACAGCACTAAGTGTGGGGGGGGGGGCAAGTCTCCTGGTTATTTTAAAGACAGAGTAGAAAATAGCTACAGAAAGAACTGGAGGCTGGAGAGAAGGAGGAAGGGAGGAGGAATAATCATAATACAGAAGGAAGACGAGAAGGAGGAGACAGGAGGAGAAGGGAAGGAAGAAAGGAAGGAAGCAAGGGAGAAGGAAAATCATTATCTTAAAAAAAACACCTACCTGCTACTTGTTGGGCAAGTATCTATTGATTCAGCTAAAAAAGAAAAATAAATGCTTCCTGGGATCAAGTCTGCAATATTCTGGATTTCTTTTCCTGCTGTCTTTGAACTTGCCTAGTGAACACAGCTTATTTGAAACCTCGTGAAAAGTTTCCTCACAATAAAAGAACTCCCATGAATTTCCCATCACTTGCATTTCAAGGAACTGATGCTCAGGGTGAAATGTTACAAAATTCCATTAACTTTAAAGGTCCTCTGTTGATCCTTAGGACTTTCACTGTCCTAGGCTAGGGAAGCTTGTGAAAGTGCACCACAGGTCTATTTAGCATTTTTATTTGACTTGTTTTTCAAATAATAGGTATTTATGAAGTCACAGAAGCACCGAAAACTGCTGCTGTACTTCAGGCAGAGCTGGTACTCACGTGTCTGCAGGCCGAGCCGCAGCACTGGCCTCTCTGCAAGTGGGCCAGCTGGGTGAACACCACGTAGCCGGTAGCTGGGTCCACGTAGTTTAGCTGGCCAGCCTGAGGAGTAATGAAATCAAACAATTCATTCATCTCAAAATTCATCGTATCTCCTCACCATAATTCCTACCCATAAAATACTGCAACGTTTTTCTTCAAACAATATTAAACTTCTTCCCAGCAATTTTCGTGGCACTTGCAATTAAGGCCTGAATGCATTCCGACATTCAACACAGTCCAACTTTATGTGACATGAGGAGAAAATATAGTTTGAGAAAAATGAGAAGTTGATGGAAAAACAAGAACGCCTCTATACCCAATAACGATGCAGCCACCGCGCAGGTATTTTTCATTCAGTTTCTAGGTAACAAGTTTAATAACAGGTGATTTAATGACTTTAAGAGCTTAAGAGGCTGAAAATGAACTTTCACTCAGAAGTTGCAGTTGCAATTTCAGTGCTTAAAATATGCGGATAATGATTTAAACTTACAGAAAAGGTGCTAATCAAAACCAACGGGCCTTCTAGAAAAAGTACGACCTTCGTTATTATTGAACACTTTTCCTTACCTTCATGATGTGCTACTCCCCTGCACACTTGCACTGTTTTCTTTTTTTGGAGTGTTTTTATTACCGTTTTTAAGCAAAATAAAAGTATTGTTTTAGCATATTAACACTCACTGCCTCATGAGTTTGATCAAAAGCAGTTTTACTACAGCCCTTCAGATGTCAAGGATGCATGCTCTACTTATTAATACATTCAAACATGGTTTTAAAAAGTCGTCCCAGGTACATTGTGTGAAGACAGAGTAAACAGTGCAACCTTTTTTATGGATGTGGACCCCGTGGGTGACATTATTTATCCTTGAGATTTTTTTTTTTAACTTTTAATTTTGTATTGGAGTATAAAAGAGTCGGACATGACTGAGCGACTTTCACTTTCACTTTCATACCTGATTAACAATGTTGTGATAGGGGGACTTCCTTGATGGTCCAGTGGCTGGGACTCCGTCCGACCTCCCACTGCAAGGGGCCTGAGTTTGATCCCTGGTCAGGAATCTAGATCCCACTTAATGCAAATGAGAGTTCGAATTCTACAATGAAAGATCCTGCATGCAACTAAGACCCAGCACAGCCAAATAAATAAATACTTACAAACAGAAAAACAACATTGTGATAGTTTCAGGTGGGACAGCAAAGGGACTCAGCCATACATATACATGTATCTATGCATGCGTTCTCAGTCATGTCTTACTGTTTGCAACCGAGTGGGATCCTCTGTCCATGAGACTCTCCAGGCAAGAATACTGGAGGGGGTTACCATGCCTTCCCTCAGGGGATCTTCCCAACCCAGGAACTGAACATGAGTTTCTTGTGTCTCCTGCACTGGCAGGTGGGTCCTTTACCACTAGCGCCAGCTGGGAAGCCCGCACGTGTATCTGTTCTCCGCCAGCTGGGAAGCCCACATGTGTATCTGTCCTCCGCCAGCTGGGAAGCCCACATGTGTATCTGTCCTCCGCCAGCTGGGAAGCCCACATGTGTATCTGTCCTCCGCCAGCTGGGAAGCCCACATGTGTATCTGTCCTCCGCCAGCTGGGAAGCCCACATGTGTATCTGTCCTCCGCCAGCTGGGAAGCCCGCACGTGTATCTGTTCTCCGCCAGCTGGGAAGCCCACATGTGTATCTGTCCTCCGCCAAACTCTCCTCCCACCCAGGCTGCCACGTGACACTGAGCAGCGCTCCCTGTGCTGTTTTAAAGACAGCAGTGTGCGCATGTTGATCCCAGACTCCCCAGTGTCCATTCCCTTTGGCAACCAGAAATTCATTCTCTAAGTCTGTGCTTCTGTTTCTGTCTTGTAAATGAGTTCATTTGTATCATTTCTTTTTAGATTCTGCATAAAAGGGGTGTCATGTCCAACTTTTTGCCACCCCTTGGACTATACAGTCCATGGAATTCTCCAGGCCAGAATACTGGAGTGGGTAGCCATTCCCTTCTCCAGGGGATCTTCCCAACCCAGGGATCAAACCCAGACCTCCCACATTGCAGGCAGATTCTTTAGCAGCTGAGCCACCAGAGAAGCCCCACTTTCACTTTCATACTATATTTCTCCTTCTCTGACTTACTTGAGTCAGTGTGACAATCTCTTGGTCCATCCACATTGCTGCAAATGGCACTATTTCATTCTTTTTTTAACTCTGCACCACTCTTGTATAGAGCCTTTCCATTAAATTACATGTGACACTTAAATGTCTTCTGACATATATTTTCGTGTGTGCTACAAACTACTTCTTTGGAGTGTCTTCCTTAATGGCTGAATATTTTGTTCTAGTTCGGCTTTTAATCAACTATACCTCATGAATAAAGTGTGGAGCAAAAGGACAATTAGAGTTCAAGTCTAGGCCTCCTCCAAGGCAACAAGGGCAGCAGAAATCCCACAATCAAGTCCCAAGGCCAGTCTAAGGGGCCTCCAAAATCCTTTGGGGTCACAGAAGCAGATTATGTAAGACCAGAGGCACTAAACACAACGTTAGAATGACCAACTATCAGGACCTCACTTCTTTATTTATTAATGCAAAGTCTGTGTTGGAAGACTTGGGAGAAAAGTGACAGAACACTGGCAGCTCTGTCAGCGGACGTCTCTCCGCTTTTCATAGCTGGGGGCTTCTGAAAGCACATTGCCTGGAGCCTGGGAGCCTTGCAGCTCCTGGGCATGGGAAGCTCTCTTGCTTTCCCTGTTGATGGGGAAGCTCTGAGCTCGTTGGCTGCCCACACAAACTTAATTTATCCTTAGTGAATGAGCCTTAGGTAATGGTGGCAACAGACAAAGGTGGGGCAGGAATGCTGACCGAGGACAAGACCTCCAGGGAGGCAGATCAGTGCAGGTAAGACAGCTACCTGCCTGCAGGTGTGGGAGAAGGACCAGTGGCAGGGGGGTCTGATTTGTTGAACAATAAGAACAAGAAGCTTGTTATCAGCTTTACTTATGGACTCTGGGACGGTCATTTAACCCACAATGCTGACACTGATGGATTTCCTGACTGAGAAAATGTTTTTTCCCCCAGGCTGATGGAGACCATCTTTCCAGGCCACTGGTGTTTGCTCTATAGAGAATGACACCTTTTGCTTCTATTTACCACATGTATAAGGTGAAATGTGCTTAGTTGCTCAGTCGTCTCCAACTTTTTGTGGCCCCATGAACTGTAGCCTGCCAGGCTCCTCTGTCCATGGGATTCTCCAGGCAAGAATACTGGAGTGGGTTGCCATGCCCTCCTCCAGGGGATCTTCCTGACCCAGGGATCAAAACCAGGTCTCCTGTGTGGCAGGTGGATTCTTTACCATCTTGAGCCACCAGGGAAGCCCATATGGTGGAGTATGGGAACAAATTACATGTGTTATTTTAAGAAAGAGTATAAACATAAACAAGAACAATTAGAGCTGCCAGTCGTTTCCTAAAGGGTCTCTTTAGGAAAGAGTGCAGAAGTTTCAACACTGGAATGAACCAGGGAGTGGATCTCAGGGCCTACTAACTGCCAGTGGAAAAAAGGCAACTTCAGGCAACCTGCAGGATTTCCTTCTCTGTCCCCTTGGCTCCAGCTCAGACTTGGTTAACATCAGTCCTCTGAAGGACTGATCACCTGCAGTGTATCACAGGCTACCTTCATATCTCTTTTTGTATCTTTATCATAGAACTCACTTGCTCTTTAAAGATGATGCAAATATAAATATGCTACCTTTAAACTTATGTAGTCTAAGATATTAGAAACGGTGATGGGAGGTGACAACTTCTGATTTTAGTGCCAACAAGCAACTGACAAACCCCCAAACCAGAAGAAAACACAGCTCAAGACTGTCTGTGCTCTGAGAGGTGGCAAACGACTAAAGGATGGTATCAAAAATTAAATTTAAAAAAAAGTTCATCTTTTACGTTCTCATTATTGAAATCATTGGTGTTTACCTGACACTGCGGATAAAAACCCATATTTTCCTGTGACTTCTCGGTTCCTCTACTCTTACCTCAGTGTCTTAAACCCGTCCAACACACACACACACACACGCAGCGTGATGATGGACCCCACGGAGTTTATAGGTCGGACACAGATTAGAAAGGAACTGCACTCATACTCAAGATAGATACATGTTAATTCTTCACTGAGAATAGGAAACTGGCCAGTTTTCAGGAGAAAAGTTCAGAACGGGACCCACCCGCGCGACCAGAGGCCAGCAACACACCTGCACCGGCCTCTAGCCACCCGGCTCCAGGCGGGGGAGGGGCATGCGCACAGACTCTCCGGGCTGCGGGCGGAGCGGGACGCCCGAGGGGCGGGGCCTCGCCGCGCGGGCGCTCGGCCCAAGGACGGAGGCCCGGGCGGGGCGGGGCGGGGCTTGGGCGTCCCGGGAGGCGGGGCCTCACCGCGCAAGCGCACGGCCCTCGGGCGGGCGGGGCCTCACCGCGCAGGCGGCCGCGTGTAGCTCCGCGATTCTCCGCTCCGCAGCCGTTAACTCTTGGCTCGCCGGGCGCTTGGCCGCTTCCTCCGGCCCGCCCTGCGAGTCGGGCCCGAGACCACCGCCGTCTTCCCGCGCAGCCGAGCAGAGGGGCACGCCGCGGCGCCGTCGGAACGCTGCTCCGTCACGGGGCGGCAGCTCTGGCGGCGGGGCGGCCGGCCGCGACCTCCCGAGCGCGGACGCTGGGACCCGCCAGGCCGCCATGGCCACCGCCTGAGGAGGCGGGGCGCGGGACCGCGGGGCGGGCCGGGCTGCGCGCGCCGGGCCTGGCGGGGCTCGGGCTGTCGGACCCAGCCGCCACCCCCGCACCTCGGCTCTCCGGGTCCCGACTCCCCTTCCCACCCCGGCCTCGTCCCTCCGGTTCTGGACCCCGGCCCGCACCCCTGACCGCGGACCGAGGGACCTCCCCACCCTTCCCGACCCCGAGCTTGGCCCCTGCAGGCCCCGCCCGCCCCCGGGGACCGGACCCCGGGCCGTCCGCCGCCCCTGCGGCCCTGCCCGGAGATGAGGTGGACTTGGGCGACTGAGGAGGCTCCCGCAGGAACCGGGGACCGGAGATCGTGCCTTTTCCACGCTCAGGACCTCCGCTCCAAGTTTCTCATTGGTTTTCTGACAGGACACGTGAACATTCGTTTTCTCCTGTCAAAGGAGCCCCGGGATCTTTTCAGCATAATCGCTACAACTGGTAAAATGCCAGAAAGTGATCCAAGTCGCCCAGGTTCGTTTCTAGCCAGCTTGGGCTCATCCAGGAAAGGCTTGAGTATTTGCAGGTGCTCTGTGCTGGGAGGGGAGCCTTCGCGCGCCTGGCTCTTTGACCCAGACTAACCTGAGGACCGAAAGCAGGAAGAGGCGTCGGTTTCAGGTTGCTAAGTAATTTGCAAAATCCAAACCAAGATTAAATTCCCTGTCTGAAAGATGAAAGTTATCACGCTCCTCCCCAGAAAAGTGACTTTGAGAAAATTAGCACACATCCCAGGAGGTAATTTCAGGCGTTAGAATTAACGGTACTCCTCCCTCCTCCCCTCAGCCTGTGTTTCAGGCTTGAAGAGTAAGCTGTTTTGTAAGTGTTCTTCACTTTTTGAGGAACTGAGGGCAGCAGTTGACCTCTGAGGACAAGAGCAGGTTGTGGACTGGTACAGGAGAAGGATGAAGACAGACCATCACCACCCCTTTTTGCCATCTGCATTTACCTTGCAACCCTGGCATTATATTTGTATTCTTAGTCGGCACTGATTGAAATGACCCTATTGGTCCGTTGTAAATCTCCTAGTAATTAATAAATTGGGATCCTCTTTTGTGAATCTACTTACTTCCTTTGTGCTGGGATAATAAATTAGTTAATCAGGCTCTGGAGAATGCTTAGTGATGTGAGAAAAGTTTAAAACCTGGGAGGGTGAGGAGGGACCCTCAGTAAAACTGGAAAGGGCAACAACTGTGGTTTTAAAAGGGAATTTACTGTGAATCAGCTGTGTGTTTGTGTTTTTTGCGAAACCAAATTCTCAAAGGAAGTGTCTGGAAGTTCTGATTGATTACATTGTTTTTAAAATTGAGGATGAAGACCAGTTAATAGTTGTAACATTAATTCAAAGGATAGAGACCAAATTTTACAGAAATGAAATAGACTAGACCACTTTCATGATAGAAAATAGTCACTTACAAAGAGTGAATACTGTTTGTGAAACGTTTGCTTTACTGGATGAGGGGGCAGGTGTGAATATAAAGGGGCGGGACGGAGGGGAGATGTTTGTGATAGTCATAGTAGTAGTAGTTCCTGTTCTGATCATGTCAGAGGCCTACAGGTGTGCTTAGAGGTAGACCTACTTTGTTCCAAAGTCCCGTTCCTAGCTTTGATACTGTGTTACAAGTATGGAAGATGTAACCAGTTGGGGAAACTGGGTGAAGGGATCGGGCTGTACTATATTTTTGCAACTTCTTGTGAGCCCATAATTATTTTAAAATTTAATAACAGTAAATGGAAGAAGGGATATAAAAATAGTGTTCACATTACTGGGAAAGAAATCACAGGGTTAACCAGAACCTTACCTTATATCCTCCATCACCAGGTTTAAAAAGCATCTGTTGGTTAAAAGCCTTTGGGCATTTAGGCCCCAAAGCTGTTTTGTGTTCCTCAGGTGTTAACAGTGTGTGCATTCTTTTACATACATATCTTTAAATCTTATATCTATCTTTAAATCTCAAAAAACAAAGATCATGGCATCTGGTCCCATCACTTCATGTCAAATAGATGGGGAAACAATGGAAACAGTGAGAGACTTTATTTTTTGGAGCTCCAAAATCACTGCAGATGGTGACTGCAATCGTGACATTAAAAGACACTTGCTCCTTGGAAGAAAAGCTATGAGCAACATATAAAAAGCAGAGACTTTACTTTGCCAACAAAGGTCCATCTAGTCAAAGCTACGGTTTTTCCAGTAGTCGTGTATGGATGTGAGAGTTGGACTATAAAAAAAGCTGAGTGCTGAAGAATTGATGCCTTTGAACTGTGGTGTTGGAGAAGACTCTTGAGAATCCCTTGGACAGCAAGGAGATCCAATCAGTCAATCCTAAAGGAAATCAGTCCTGAATATTCATTGAAAGGAACTGATGTTGAAGCTGAAACTCCAAATCTTGGCCACCTGATGTGAAGAACTGACTTATTTGAAAAGACCTTGATGCTGGGAAAGATTGAAGGCAGGAGGAGATGGGGATGACAGAGGATGAGATGGTTGGATGGCATCACTGATTCGATGGACATGAGTTTGAGCAAGCTCTGGGTATTGGTGATGGACAGGGAAGCCTGGCATGCTGCAGTCCATGGGGTCGCAAAGAGTCGGACACCACTGAACTGAAATCTTACCAGAGCTGGAAATCTATATAATTAAGAGTTGATGAAGTATCTTAGTATAAATAATTTGCAGATTTGATAATTTAATTAGGGTGTTTAGACATTGAATAGATTATCTGCCCCTTCAGTTTTTGTCTCATCTTCACACTTGGAAGTCAGTGTCAAGGCACATCAAGTAACTTGCATTCACTGCGTCTCTTGCTTGAAAGAGCCTCCTTGGATCTTGTTGCCTACCTTGTTCTAGCATGTGTTCATTTCCTCTTAGAGTCTCTGTGCTCAAAGCAGACAGAACTGTGTGAAAGTGGGGGACACACCATTCCACCCTAGAATGGTACCTTTAGGCCCCACTTTATTTAGAATGTGCTTACACCCAAGTTTGCTTTAGGAATAGTTTTGTGCCACCTCTCTGCATGTCCCATGATGTGACATGTATTCTGAACTTCCTGTCCTCTTTGATGTTTGTGTTGACATTGAACATGCTTGTTATTTGGAGGAGGAGGAAGAAAGTGGTTCAGAGACTGGTGTTTCTCTGTTTCATTTGGATAGATTTTTTTCAGTAGCTACATTAGGCTTCTAGGTTGCAGGATATGGTGGCTTTATCTGGTTACAGTAGAAGGGGTGGGCCCTGTCCCCCGGAGGCAGGACTTCCTCCAGGCACGGGCCTTGGCCATGGCTCAAACTGAGTTTCCTCCTGATTGCTGATGGCTGTTCCCTTTGGGTGAAAGGTGGTGTAAAAGGCTCCTAGGTTTCTCTTCCTTGTCCTGCTGAAAAGAGGGTCTTGTGGAGCTCCTGGCAGAGAAGAACCCTTTTTGCTCCCAGAAGTCCTAGCAGCCATCTCTTTCTTGTGTGTCCGTTTGTGAACCAGTCTTCATGAGTATGGGTTGTGCTAAAGACAACTGGGGCCTGCCCAGGGCACTGCCTGTGTGAACCCCCAGGCCCAGGCCTGGGAACAGCTCTGTACTGATGGTAGGGGCACAGTTAACCTATGGCCACTGCAGCGTGACTTGGCAAGGGCAAAACAAACTCCTCCAGCCCTCCCGTCCCTTTAGCATTTAGTATGTTGTGTCTTTGGCTGCGCTGGGCAGGATCTTAATTCCCAGACCAGGGATTGAACTCCTACCCCCTGCAGTGGATTCATAGAGCCCTACCCACTGGACCTACAGGGAATTTCCTAGTATTAATTGTTTATCACTTAAAACATTTTTCACTGTTCTCTGGTTCCCCTCTGGACATCCTTCTTTTGATGGCCCACAATTATTTGCTCCGTTTAGCTTTTTATAAGTAATAATTTGGGGGCATTGTTTTCCCAACAGATCATAAACAGAACAGTAGGGAGGATGGTAGGGAATATGCTCTTCTCATCTCTGTATCTCCACAGCCCATCTCACACGTTTGTTTGTTGTTTGTATGACACTTGGGCTTCCCTGGTGGCTCAGTGGTAAAGAATCTGCCTGCCAATTCAGGAGCCCCAGGAGACTCGGGTTCGATCCAGGGTCAGGAAGATGCCCTGGAGAAGGCCACCAACTCCAGTACTCCTGCCTGGACAATCCCACGGACAGAGGAGCCTACAGTCTATGGGGTTGCACGGTCAGACGCAGCCGAGCACACTCGCACTGTGTACACTTGGTGAACAAGGGCTTTTCCAATGGGTCAATGAACCCATCATTTTTCCTTCTGAAGTCTACAGTCCTTAACTAGTAGATGGGCATTTCACATGAAATTCTAAAATTAACCTTTTTTACTTAATGCAAATTTGAAAAATTAATAATTGCAAATACCATAAAAACTGGATGATAAAGATGCTAACTCTGAGGTCATGTTCAATTGTGTTTATTGAATAACATTGGGCCACTTTCCCGACAGCTCAGTTGCACACGTTACCAGACTGCCTGAGCTCAGCCCCAGAAAAGCTGCCTGTGGTTGACTATTAAGTGTCAGCTGTGTTACCTTTTCAAGAACTATGAACGTATTGCCCTGTGAGTGGACAAGTGGGTGCTGGGGTCTGACAGCCGCCCACAGACGTCCTGTGCGGACACCGCCTGTTGGGCACAGTTGTTTTGGACGTGATTTGTGTATCTGATGCTTTTCGGATCGCTGGATGGCGTGTCACACCATGACTCCACGTATGGTGCATTTCACTCTCAATCCTCATGATTGAGAGCAAACATTACATGCCCCTGAGGTCACCCACAGGGAATTTTTGTTTCGTTTCCCGGGACATCCGTCGGTACCCTTTGTCTCACGGAGCTGTTCTTAGAAAATTCTTGGGAGAAATACAGCCGTTTCTGTTTGCGAGCCCAGTGCACCTCGGCTGTCTTCCCGAGCGCCCACCCACCGGTGCCGCCCAATGCCACCTGCC